CATGAAATAAAAACATTTGCATCCCTGCAAACAATTACAAGAGGCTTTAACATTCACTCAGACCAAGCAGCCATGTGAATCCCTCTCTGTATTCATGCAAAATGCATGCAGAAGATGTGTGGGATCAAAAAGATACGCTCGGGGAAATTATTGCTCTATTCACCAAACAACTCTGACTGTGATGGCACATGAGAACACAGATATTGTCAAGAGCTCCGTTTACTGAGTGGGGATGAAGTGACGGGGCACAGGAGGCCAGAGCAGATGAAAAATGTACATCTGGGAATGGAGCTAAAATTTCAGGGTAGAGGACATGTTAGGCAGAGAAAATCAGGAATAGTGAAAATTTTATTTTAAAATAATACAAAAACAAAGATATAACTGATAAAATAAAGCTTCAGTGTGAGAGGCAAACAAGTAGAGGGAAGTTTTAAACCTCTGTACCAATGTGACAATCATTCTAAATAAAATAGGGAAATACAATAGCAGCATTACCTGTTACAGCCCATGTTCCAGCTGTGCCAAGTTTCAGAGTTATGTTAGAGCTCGGATACTATGTGACATTCCAGATGCCAGTTCAATGATATAATAAATCTCCCTTGGCTCCAGTTTCTGTGATCCTCATTCTGGTCACTGCAGGGTGAAAGAAGATATCCTCGACGTGGGGAAGGTAACGCAGGAGTAGTTACCCACACAGAGGAAAGGCTGGGGAATAAATGACATAATTTTGCTTAAAGAAGGGGCTCGCTCTTAGAAAAGGCACTACCAGTCTTTTGCATGAAATATGAGACAGAGCCACAGTAATATGGCTTTCCAGGATTCACTTACTGAAAGGATCAGCAGGGAACTTTTGTCACACGAAGACCTCTCGTGTCTCCAGGAAGGAAGAAGAGTCTCAAGTTAACATGAGGTCTTGGAGATCTGGGTTCAAGCTATTTCCTTTACCAGATTCCTTTTGTGGCCATAGCTTTGTCACTTAGCTTACATTTCCAAGAAATGCCTGAAGCTACATGCAACTATCTGTAAAGATCTCTTACTGTGTTGCTAGAAGATGACAAGTGCCCAGACACCTGCTAGGTATCTGCCTTTAATACTAGGTGCAAAAAAATCTTTACAAACCAGACCTTGCATCCAAGATTTATCACTTGTTTTCTTCATTTCTTATGAATACCAAGAGATTTACGCTGTCACAGAAAATGGAGCAAGTGTTACACCCTCTTCTTCATATATGCCTACCGAATGGAGTTTGCACTAATTTTTTTTCTCCAGGAAATACCCTACTGTCTTGAGCAGGCACGAACCTGACCAGCACACGTATGGATGTTTGGCACCAGTGTTTCAAAGATCTTAAAGGATGTGGGGCTATGGACAAAAGTCTCCATTTGTTGCAGGGATGTAGGAGCCCTGCAGAGAACAGGTGGGGTTGGGATTGCATTGACCAGGGCTGCTTTGAACTGACCCTGCTCTGAGACCTTTGTCCAGAGCTACAGAATTTCTGTGTGAAAAAAAAAAAACAAACAATGACTTTTTAAAAAGTAATTTGCCTTTAGGCTTGCGAAGAAGAATGTCCAGACATAGGGTGAAACAGCTGTCTCAGCATCAACCATCTCCACAAAGTATTATTCTGGTATTGAACTATGGTGGTTTCAAGAGTAGCTACTTATTTTAGGCTGAATGTTCAATCCCTCTTCGTACTATGGGCTGGGGGGTTCAGCTCAGACAGGGAGCGGTGGTTCTCCTTGACCTCTTAGACACAGAGAAGCTACACTGCTTCTGAAACTGTCCCTGTTCCCCTGATAAAAAGCAGGGGCCACTGCTTCCCAGGGCCAACACTCCTGGCATTATCACCACACTAAAATCGTTAAGAAAAACAACAGGCTGGAGCAGAGGCACGGGACCGTGCTACACAAACACGGCTTCCAAAGAAGGAACAAAGGCGTACACAGGGTCCTAAATGCCAAAGATGGGCTTTGCCTCCTGCAGTTATTTTTTCCCTTTTGTTTCTGACTGTAGGAATACATTGTTCACTTCATTGTGAAGAGTTCCAGGCAGACATGACGAAAGGGACAAAACAGCTCAAGAAAAGAGACGTCCCGTGCAGCATTCATGAAATGCGCTGTTTGGAAACAAGGAACGAGCAAACAGGAAAGCACTTTAACCATTGAGAAGTCGGGATCCCAGCGTGTTCTTGGCACCGGCGGGAACAATGGGGTGATGTCACGAGCCAGAATTCCCCATGGTGGATGGAAGCCCAGCAAATAATCATAATTCTTGTCCTGGGACATTAGCAAAATTTTTCCACAGTTGGTCATACCCCGCTGAGTCCCTGTTAGGAAGTGTAGGAAAGAGACATTGTCAAGTGAAGCTTCCTTTGGGAGATTCGTCCCCCCCCGTCCCTAACCCTGGATCAACGCATCAGTTGCTATAAATCACTGCTTTCTGCTGACTATGAGGAATTTCAGTGGTGGTGCTGGGAGGCCGAGCACAGGGCTGCCTGAAGAATATATTTTACACAGTGAAGAAGGGTGCACACAAGGGTCTGGATACTTGTAAGGGCAAAGGGGCAGAAATCTCATTAGCTATCCAGTGCTTTGAGCCTACACAGCATCGGTATGGAGCATTGTCCTTACCGTTTCAAAGGTGCTGGGAATGGCAAGGAGCTTAGGAGACACAGTCTTGCACAAACAGTGGTGTTTGGAGAGTTTCAGCCAAGTTTAAGGCTACTAAATGACATGAGCAATATGAGGGCATGCTCCAGATCCCAGACTCTCTTTTTTATTTTGGCTTAAAGTCAGCTCTGTGGAGAGTGACCTGAAGTTCACTTGCAGCATCCAGGCATTTTCTGAAGCAGTTCTTGAGTTCTTCTTTGGCTCCTTTCTTTTGACAGGGACTAGTTCCATGGGATGATTGGGATAGCCAGGCAATCCTCACAGGCTGTGGTGGATTTCACTCATTATTGGGCTATTACTGAAAATGCAGACTGCTCTCACCTCTCCATGATTTGCTCTGCAAGACCCCGGTCAGCTTCTCTGCAGAGCACACCAACCCTGGGCTGTCACTTTCCTTTTTTTGCATGAAAGTTGGTATTAGTACAAGGGTGACATGGGACTGCTTTGCTGAGGTGGACATGGGATTACTCTTTCAACAGCAAAAAAGACTTCAATGAGTCTAAGCCAGTCATGAAATGGCAGCCCTAAAGAAAAGAAACATTAAGATCCGAGTGTTTGCATGGTTTACTGATAACAGATTTGTCCCTGTTCTATGTTTGTC